CAAAAGATTGGGGACTGCGGCTCTAGAACGCTAAGCAGCTCTGTTACATCTCATCTCAATTCCAAGTACAACTGAAGGTGAGGGGAAGGTGGGTTACTACCAGATCTGTAACAGTTGCTAAATAAAACTCATTAAAACAAGACAGAGCCTGTGGCTTCAAATGAGGTTTGTGTTGCCAACATTCCGAACAAACGAAAGCTGACATTTCAGGGTGACTGTAATTATTTTAAGAATGTCACAAATTTCCTCCTAAAAGAAATCCTAATGTCTTAGATCTTTACCTGGCTCTTATAAAAATGTATGTATTAGAAAATAAATAGACCAATAGAGTTTAGTCAAAAGAAAAACTAGGGGAAAATATTTGCAGCAGAGATAAAAGGAGCCTCTACAAATCAATTTCACACACACACACACACACACACACACACACACACACACCCCTCTACAACCCAAAAGAAAAATGAACAAAGAAAACCTGCAGTTCACAAATAAAGGAATCCAGATGACTAATAAGCATGAAGTTATTCAATCTTACTCCTAATTAAAGAAGCATAAATCAACAAAACAAGATCCTATTTTTCATGTCAAACAAGCAAAAATTAAAAAGATTGATAGTACCTACTATGGGCAAAGGTGAGGAGAAACAGCCACTCGTTCACTATTAATTGGAGTGTAAGCTGAGCATTTCCGGGAGGCAATTTGGCACTATGCTTCAAAATTTTATATATGTGTGTGTGTATATATATATATATATATATATATATATATATATACACACACACACACACACACACACACACACACACACAAATTCATTGACCCCCATAATTTTACTCCTCAAAATAAATATTTTCACACAATGTAATGTTCAATGACATTCACTGCAACACTTTTTAAGACTTAAAAGTGGGGAACAACCTATGTGCCCATTAACAAGAACAAGTTGAATAAATTATGATATACTCATTCAATAGAAACTCTGCAGCATTGAAAAAGTATGTAGAGCTCAGAGTCCTGAGATATACTGAAGTGAACAAAAATTGAAGAATAAGATATATATCTATCTTTAAGAAAAAAAAATATACGAGTGTGGAAGCATACTTGAATATGCATGTAAGTTTTTTCAATGCTCCAACCCCTGGGGACCCTATGAATGGGAGATGTCCACAATGTCCTGTCCCCATTAGCCCTTCTCAGTTCCTATCAACTCGTGCCTATGGCTTCTTTTATGGAGTCAATCCATCTCATTTGATCTTCCTCTTTTCCTGCTCCCTCCTACTTTTCCAACATTATTGTCTTTTCCAAAGAATCTTGCCTTCTCAAGACGTGTTCAAAGTAGGACAGTTTCAATTTTGTCATTTTGGGGTCCAGCCATGTTTCAGGCTTAATTTGCTCTAGGATCCGCTTATTCTTCTAATGATCCAATGTATTTATAGAACTCTCTTCCAATCTCATAATTTTAAATGAATTACTTCTTCACAGATAGAAAAAACAGGGGTAAATAAAGGAATTGTCAGGAAACTGAGAGAGGATCCAGGTGAGGTCAGGCAACTGAGATGACTCAGTTAAGGCTAGCTAGTATGAACTGTGAATTTCTTGAGCAATGTTCAGTAGGCCTAGAAGAAGAATGGTTGCCCAGAATGAGGAATTGATAGGAGGCACAGAGGAAAGCTAAGGAGGTACAAAAGAACCTTTAAAACAGCTAACTGGGAAGTAAAAGTCTTAAAGGGAGAGAAGTGAAGCTTTTTTTCTCTGCTTGGAATGTCCCCAGCCCTATTTTCTGGGCTTGGTAAAACCTGTTAATTCTTTAAAACCCAACCAAATGCATGCTCCTCCATAAAGGTTTCCAAATCTCCAAAGAGAAGTAGTCTCACCTAACCAGCATGGCTGAGTAGTTAAGCGTCAACCTATGAACCAGGAGGTCACAGTTCGATTCCAGTCAGGACATATGCCCAGGTTGCAGCTCAATCCTCATTGTGGGGTACGCAGTAGGGAACCGATCAATGATTCTCTCATCACTGATGTTTCTCTCTCTCTCTCTTCCTCTTCCTTCCACTCTGAAATCAGTAAGTTTCTTCTTCCTCTTCGCTCACAAGGTTCTCCAGACTTAGTTTTCATATAGATCCATAAACAATACTCCTTATGTTTCTTAATAAATCCATTTCACTTGATCCATTAGCTGAACTTGACAAACTAAACACTTCACCCTGAATTCCACAACACTGGACTCTCAAAATGAGAGTCCTTGTCCCTCACTAGTTCATTCTGTCTCATTTGCTAGTTCATATCAAACCTATGGCGTCTAAAATGCCTAAGGACTCAGGTCTTCTAGTACTTCTCGTTTCTATTTACATTCATACCTTTGGTGATTGTCTCCAGCTTCACAATTTTAAATACTAATAACTCCCAATGTTCTTTTCTGGCAATGAGCTCCCCAATGGACCACAGACTTAACTACCTATTTAACATCTCCACTTGGATGACTAACAAACATCCAAACTTAATATGCCATAACTGAACTCCAAATCTTTCCTGATGCTCCCATAGTTTTCCACTTCCCAATTAATGGCAATTCCACCCTTCTATAATAGTTGCTCAAGCCCAAACTCTTGACAATCACCTTACTCTTACAATCCACGTTCAAACTATAAGCAAATCTGTTAGTTTTACCTACAAACACATCCAATATTGAACTGCCACTCACCAATCACTTTTTTCCACCTGTGAAGCTATTATCATTATAATAGCTTATTACACCTTTGTAATTAGTCTGGCTTTCATCTATCCTACTTTCTAACAATCTGTTAAGACAGCCAGAGTGATCCTGTTAAAAACCTGAATCAGATCACCCTGCTCAGAACTTTCCACTGGTTATTTACCCACTAACGGCTATCATGCCACTGCACCAGCCCCGTGGTCGGCAAACTGTGGCTCTCGAGTCACATGAGGCTTTTTGGCCCCTTGAGTGTGGTTCTTCCACAAAATACCACGGCCTGGCAAGTCTATTTTGAAGTGGTGTTAGAAGAAGTTTAAAAAATTTGGCTCTCAAAAGAAATTTCAATCATTATACTGTTGATATTTGGCTCTGTTGACTAATGAGTTTGCCAACCACTGCACTAGCCTATTCCTTCAAGGTAGGATTCATATGGGATGATATTTGTATTTCCACATGACTAATATAATTTCTTGCCACACCTTAGGTATTTAGTAACTATTTGTTAACTGACTAAAACCAATGAAAGTAAACTGGAATCAAATTTTGGAGAATCTTAATATCATATTTGAATTTGGACTTATAAATATTAGCAAGTTACCACATGGATCAAAAAGAAATATAATGTACATTCTGGGACTGCTTCCATCCCTATGCCAAGCAGAGTTACACATAATTATGAATTAAGTGAGAGACCAAAGCCAATATCTAAATATTTTTGGAACTAGAGAGATTTCTGCAGCTGTTGCACCAGAATTCTATTACTGTAATGATTTTGTTGCATTGCATTATCTTAGAAAATAGTGCAATGTACATACAACAATCTCTCAATAAATACTGCTGTTTGGCAGTCAGTCCATGTTAGTGTTAACTGTAATTCTCCTGGCAAGATTTTACTGCGGAAAAAAAATAGGCTTCATCTTTTTTTAAATATGTTAACCTCTAAAAAATGTATCACAAAGCCTGACAACAGAATAAGAAATAAATTATAAAGAAGTTGCTGGAGATTGAATGAATAATCACATCAGATTACAACGAAGTTACTTATATTGTTTAATTCTAATGTTTAATTTGAAGTGTTTTCAAAATTATAATCCTGCAAAATTGCCTTCGAAAACCATGAAATTTGCTTATTACATTTTCTCATCTCTAAAGTAATCATGCCCTGGCCGTGTGGCTCAGTTGGTTGAGCGCCCCTCCAGCGCACTGAAAGGTTGCCTGTTTTGATTCCCGGGTTGCAGGCTCCATCCCTGGTTCGGGTGCAAGTGGAAAGCAACCAATCCATGTTTCCCTCACATTCATGTTTTTCTCTCTCTCCCTTTCTCTCCCTCTCTGAAATCAATAAAGATATTAAATAAAAAGAGAGAGAGCCATGTAAAAGGTCAAGAGAAACCATCATTTCTCAACTGTAAACACAACACAGCTATTTAAAACCAGCTATCACATCTTTTTACTGAGAATTGTTTTACTTTGAAAAACCCTTTTCTTCACTGTCGTTATTTTATCTTCCAACAAAACAATGAGATCTATCCCTTCAAACCATCACAAACGGTTCTCTGAACTTCAATAGGGGTTATCTAATTATTTTTCAGATCCAGCCTCAACATAACGGTTAACGTCTCGGTTCCATCTACTCTCAGACCAGCCCCAACAGGTTATGTTGTGGGTAGCAAACATCCCACTGGGAGATACACCTTCATCAAACCAAACTGAGCACCCGTCAACCCACAGGACGGCGTCAAAGGTCTTTTCGAGCAGCTAAGAGAAGTCTGCATTACACTGAACGTCCCTGGGCCATGAAGGACAACCATGTTCTTGAGAGTATCCACTACAGATTTCAACGGAAGGTCGGAATCAGCCTATCGTCTCAGGAAAGCTACTCCCCCGACAGCTCTGCCCTTTGCCTTCTTTCCTGAAACGAGGATCGAAGGCAGCCGAACATCAATGGTGAAGACCTGTGTTCTGAAACTCCCCACCTTCCAATATTTGGGAGGCGGAGCTAAGAAAGCGTATAAAAAGCGAAAGGCTGGACCAAAAGAGACGGGAGGGAGCCCGGTAGGCCAGGACCTACAAGCAGCAGACCCAGGACCAGCGACGGGGCCGGGGGTCCCGCCACCACGCCGTCCCCCACGCTCAGGAGAGCGAGCTCGCCTTCGCGGGGGGCTGCGGGGCCCGGCCTCGCTCCCCGCAGCCAGCGGAAGGGTGACATCCAGGACAAGAGAGGAAGGCTTAAGGAGAGCACGAGAAAAAAAAAAAAAAAACGCAAACCCCAGCTTACAATAGTACCTCGCTAGCCTGCCACTCCGTCTTCCGGAAAGCGGTCGGGCGGCGATGACGTCAGCGCGGCGGCGGCTCTGCCCGCGGCGGCGGCGCGCAGCGATGACCTCACGCTGCTGGCCCCGCCCCCTTCCGTGCTGCTGGCCAGCGTCGTGGAAAGAATGGGGGTGCGGTGCTGGGCACCTTTTTCTAGATTTGTATTCGGCCAAGAAATCTAAGTTGAGCGTATTGAACTAGAAAAAAATGTTCGTTACCAAAGCTTTGTTCTTTTTTTTTTTTTTTTGCTTTTCACTGAAACTCATCCCAGGGCCCGGATTCCTACTACACTCCTATTGATCCCACAAAATGAGTCTCAAAAAAAGCAGCTCCCTAGATTGTCCCTGGTAAAGGACAAGTTCTTTTTTTTTTTTTTTTTTTTTTTTTTTTTCAATACATCGCTAAGAGGTACTTTTGTAAAATACAGGGGGCAAAAATGAGCCGGTTCTCTTTCCCACCGGATCGGAACCCTTGTCTCGGTGGTCATTACAAAATGTATACAGGGCCCATGCTGGTTTGGCTCAGTGAATAGAGCGTTAGCCTGTGGACTGAAGGGTTCCAGGTTCCATTCCGATCAAGGACACAAGCCTGGGTTGCCGTTGCCGACTCAATCCTCAGTAGGGGGCTTGCAGGAGGCAACTTATCAATGATTCTCTCTCATCATTGATGTTTCTCTCTTTCCCTTCTCTGAAATCAACAAAAATGTACTTTTAAAAAATGTACATATGAATGGCTTGAAAGATGGGGGGAAGAAGCAAAATACAAGCCCATATTTTTAATTATTAGCTTCATAAAATCTCTTTTCAGTAAACACAATTAGAACAAAAGGAAAAGGGTAATTACAAAATCTACACATATATATTGTTCATTGAAAGTGTAGTATAAGCTGCTAAGCATTCTTTTTACAATCCCAACTCTTTATTCCACAATCGTAGTTGAACAGGAAGCTTTGAACAAACACCCCATTTTTCAATAACAAAATACCACGTACAGTGAGATTGAAACTTGATGGCCCGTGCGCAGAAGTCGGTTTTCGGCCTGGGCGCATCTATTTTGAAGAAGTGGCGTTAGAGCACTCAAGGGGTCAAAGAGCCGCATGTGGCTCGCGAGCCTCGGTTTGCCGACCACTGGGTTAGGGCAATCAAACTAATTTTAAAATATCACAAGGTGCATGACTAGAACAGTTCACACCACGTGGGACTCGCTTATGAACTATCTTACAATGGTACCTGTATGGTCGGTGCGTGCCCTCTTCCAATTGCAGACTTCTGACTTCTTGTGTTCTCACTTGGAGAAAGTGGCAGGCAGCTCTTTAGGGCTCCTTTATAAGGGCACAAATCTCATCAGGAGGGCTCCACCCCCAGGACCTAATCCCCTCCCAAAGCTCCAGCTCCTAATTCCATTAGCTGGAGCAATAGGATTTCAACTTCAGAATTTGGGGGATGGTGGGAGTCACAAGCATTCAGACCACAGCACTCATCTTCACTTCACTGTGCTTTATTGTCCTAAATGATTTACTTTTTTTTTTTCAAAAAATGGGCTCTAGCCACTTTGGCCCAGTGGATAGAGCGGCAGCCTTCGGACCAAAGTGTCCCAGGTTCGATTCCTTGGTTGCAGGCTCTTCCCAGACCCAGACCCTAGTCACGGCCCCTGCAGAAGGCAATCAATCGATGTCTTTCTGTTTCTCTCTGTATTTTCCTCTCTCTTCTACTCTCTCTAAAAACCAATGGAAAAATATCCTTGGGTGAGGATTAACAACAACTACAACAAAAAAGGATAAAGATAGAATTTGAAAGCATTCCTAGAATTAGCCATTTGGAAAAATAATTGTGATAAAGCAATGCTTATTTAAGAAATTAAATCCTGCCGAGACCGGTTTGGCTCAGTGGATAGAGTGTCGGCCTGCGGACTGAAGGGTCCCGGGTTGGATTTCGGTCAAGGGCATGTACCTTGGTTGCGGGCACATCCCCAGTAGGAGGTGTGCAAGAGGCAGCTGATCGGTGTCTCTCTCTCATCGATGTTTCTGACTTTCTATCCCTCTCTCTTCCTCTCTGTAAAAAAATCAATAAAATATATTTTTTTAAAAATTAAATCCTGTCATATTCCTTTCAAATCCCCTAAAACTTTGCCACATAATACTATCCATCCCCCAAAATTTAATGTTTATAGGCATAATTAAAATAAATACATTTAGATCAACCAAAGGACTTGTATGCATGCATATAAACATAACCAATAGACCCCAACACCAGAACCATAAGGGCATGAGTAGAGGGGGGTGGGGGATTTAATAGAGGGATGAGGACACATATGTAATACCTTAATCAATAAAGACATTTTAAAAAATAAAATAAAGTAAAAATATGCATATGGAAAAAATAAAGTAAATACATTTATTTATTACTCAGAAAGAATCCTTCCTATGAACTGCATGTAGCTCTGTACTGTTATTTTAACACTGCCTCCTGCCATTCCCAAGAATAACTGACTTTTCTGGACTAATGCTCAAGGTGTAAAGGGAAGAGACGTTGGTCCAAGACTCAGAGATGAGTCCTCTTCAAAGGTATGGACAGATGTGATTCAGTTAAGCCTTACTGGGGTGTCGAACTCAATCAGAGAAGGGGCCAAAATCTAAAATCCAGCCTAAATCGCGGGCCGAATGGTTTACTGAACAGACATAAACTGTCATTGTGATGGAAACGCAGCGGAGTGCAGTGATGACAGCGCGGTGCAGGCCACATTGCAAGGCCTGGCGGGACGGATTTGGCCCGCGGGCCTTGTGTTTGACACATGTGATTAAGGGCACTGAACCTAACCTGTAGCATCTGTAACATTATTAATTATTTTTCTAAATCTAAGGCTAGAAATTAGGTGTCATAATTTCCATCTTAAGGCTTTGAGATTGTTCCTATGTGTAACTCTTAAAAGGCCAGGCCCTACTGAATTTTCAGCATTGTAAGACAGGCTGCTGTTATGAGAAGGCTAAATAGTTTTGGGTGGGTTTTTTTAATTATTATTATTATGTTTTTGTTGATTTTTAGAGAGAGAGGAAAGGAGAGTGCTAGATAGAAACATGGATAAGAGAGGAACATCCTCTATCGGCTGACTGCCTCTTGCATGCCCCTACTGGGGATCTTCACCGCCCAGACATGTGTCCTGAGTGGGTTGGGAATGGAACCAGCCACCTCTTGGTTCCTGGGTTGATGCTCAAAGGATCAATATGCATATTTTAAGGAAGCCTCACTAACCATCTATTGTAGTTATCTAAGCAGAGTTAGAAGCATATTTTTTTAAAAACTGGTTAAAGTTAAATTTCTACAGTTGGGAAGTAAATTTGATATAAATTGTTTAAGAAATGGTTTGATTGGAAATGTTTGAGTAGAGGCATTGAAAGTAATTTTTACTATTTCAGACTTGCTCTAAGTCATGACTTTTGCTGATTAAAAAATAAATAGCTATCCATGAAGAGGGCCTCGTTCTCTGATAGATCTTCTACAAAATCCCTGTCCGTGGAGTAAAATGTTTGCATCTGGATACCAGAGATAATGGTTTTGAAAATTCTAATTACCAAAACTGGCTCAATCTTATCAACAAAATAATTAACTCTCCACATTCAGATACAAAGTATTTAATGGGAATGACAGATAGGGTGTTGTGTAACTTTATTTGCTTGTTTTGCTTTGTTTTACAGAATGAGTAATGGACATTTCTCATTTTCACTAGCAAGCATCCTGCTTCTTTAATTCCAAATGGGGGTAGAATCTCTGTTTGGGGGTTTTGTTGTTGTTGTTGTTGTTGTTGTTTTAGTTGATTTCAGAGAGGAAGGGAGAGGAAAGGAGAGAGAGAAACATCAATGATGAGAGAGAATCATTAATCCGCTGCCTCCTGAATGCTCCCACTAGGGATCAAGCCCCCAACCTGGGTTTGTGCCCTGACCAGGAATCGAACCTTGACCTCCTGGTTCATAGGTCAACACTCAACCACTGACCCACACTGGCCGGGCCAGAATATCTGCTTTTCTATCTATGTCAATAGCATTTTTTCCCTTTCATATCAAGTAATAAGATGGTATATTACTACTTTATTAACATTTCACTACAATCCCCCAAGTGCCTGTTAGTCTCCAGAGGAAAAAAATCTTGTCAAAGTCAAGTGGCACTGACTCTCTCCTACGGTGGCCTGATCCCACCACAGGCCGACTCCTTGATTGCTTCCTTCTCACTCTCACTTTCCTCCGTGTCTTTGGCCATCGCTGCAACCATGTAATAGCAACTGAGAGCAGGTGGCATAAAAGTATAATGTGCAGATAAACGCAGGAGGGAATTCGATCTGCGCTCAGATCTGGCACTTCATTTGTAAACTCCTCACCTAGATTTGGGGTTCTTAAGGACAGCGACCTCTTTCTGCCTCTCTTTTTTCAGTACCTGATACATTACTATAATCCCATCTGGTTGTTGACCGCTTAGTTGACTCTTAGATTTTTGATCCTTTCAGCTATTAAACAAAGAAAAGACGAAGAAGTGTGTAAACTGGTTAGTATAAAAAAAAGAAACCTGGCATCATTTTCCTCACCTTGAACAAAAATAGAGTGGAACTGTAATACTAATAAAGTTGTTAGCAGGAAGTACATCCACATTATGAAAGAAAAGAATGTTTTATTCAATAAGTACATATAAATGTAATGTGCAAAGAACTTAAGAAAAAGTATTATATCTAGTTCTATAATGTAATAACATTTAGATGAATTTTTTATTCTATTTCCCAAATATCTTGTGAGAGTTTTCTATTATGTTGAAATTAAGAAATATAAAGGGCCCTAGCCAGTTTGGCTCAGTGGATAGAGCATCAGCCTGTGGACTGAAGAGTCTTGGGTTTGATTTCAGTCAAAGGCACATGCCCGGGGTTGCAGGCTCAATCCTCAGTGGGGGGCATGCAGGATAGTACAGCTTCAGAGGTCTCAAAAATAGACGTGGTAATAGCAACTGCCATACTATTTCAGATAGAGCAAGTTTTCTGACTACGTGGTATTTACTTTAAGCTCTAATGTAAACCACTCAATGAATGAACAGTATAG